GAAATTAGTGTTCCTCTTCAGACTTTATAACGAAAATGAAGAGAAAGAGAAGTGATTTCCGTTTTAGTATTATTGAGTTTACCATTAATACCGTTCAATTTTCAAGTTCACATGTACCGTTTTCTATTTTGATTTTCATTTCTTAGAATTATTTGTGTTCTGTTTTATATTTTTTGCGTGGAAATATAAAGTTTCTTGAAAAAATGAACTTTGATTTAAATCGTGATTGAAATTAAATCGTTGAACAAAATCAAGCCAACCCTGGTTCAAAGAAAGTCGACGAGTTTTCTTGTAAAATGGGCGATGGGCGGCTGCTGAAGTGAAAAGGCCATCTTATTCGAGTTATCAGCTATGAAAGCAACTCGATTATAGCTTCCCATCAGTATCAGGCAGCCGGTGCGGCCTGGCATTTGAAAAAATTCCTGCATTGTTGTTTCCCACCGCAGCCTGCCGATTTTTCCACGGAACGGCCTAGATTCGGCCGCCGCAAAGTCATAATCGCCTTGAAAACCACGCTGGGAATTCGAAAAAATTACACCCGAGTAGTGCCATATGTCACTTTGCATACAACTGCTCTCGAAACGACCCGAAGTCGCATTTCTGGCCGGTACGAGGGAGACTCACATGCCTGACAATCTTACACGAAATAGTCAAAAGTAGCCAAAACCGCCACTTTTTAAGCCTGCGGATTCCTTAAAACTGAGGCGAAACGTGGACAGTTGGAAAAACCCACTTGGTTTTACTCGGGTTCAAATTCGCGCCCGAAAATTCTCACTACTTCCCTTGAAACATTTCAGCAGATTTGGCTTTTGCCGATCAGCAACGCTTTGCTTAATGGCTCCAGGCTGTTTTCACCCCGCCAACTTGTTCCTTCAGGATCCTGCCGAATCGGTTACATTTTCTAGAGCCCCGGTAAACCAGCAGTAAATCACCGTTTACGAAATAACAGCTTCATATACCGAGAAACTGCATATTAACGACAACTGTCCCACTCGTGGGTAGATGACATAACTCCGGTTTGATAAGCAAAGGTTACATGCCATCATACCATTTCCCTGTTGCCTGCGTGGTCAGAAGGTGAGGAAATACTGGGCCTCAACTAATTCCACTTTCAG